AATCAGCTGCCTCCTGCACATCCCCTACTGGGGATGTGCCCACAACCAAGGTACATGCCCTTGACTGGAATCGAATGGGAGGGACTTCAGTCCCCGGGCTGACACTCTATCCACGGAGCCAAACCAGCCAGGCATAATGTTTCGAACGTTTAATACAGTTCCTCATGTTGTGGTGACTCCCAACCACAAAATTATTTTCGTTGCTACTTCATAACTGTAATTTTGCTACTGTTATGAATCGTAATGTAAATATCTGATATGCAGGATGTATTTTCATTGCTACAAAGTAAACATAATTAAAGCATAGTGATTAATCACAAAAACAATATGTAATTATATATGTTTTCCGATGGTCTTAGGCGACCCCTGTGAAAGGGAGGTTTGACCCCCAAAGGGGTCGCTACCCACAGGTTGAGAACCGCTGACATAGATGTTTCTTTCTCTCTGTCTCTCCCTTTCCCTTCCACTGTCTCTAAAAAAAAAAAAAAAAAAGTCAATGGAAAAATACCCTCGGGTGAGGATTAACAAAAAAATTTTCAACATGATATTGTGAATTTTGTGACCATAAGGCTTAAGACAATTAAAAAAAAATCATAGATCAAGAAATAAATAAAAGAGAGAGAAAATGACACAGAAGAACGAGGAAGAATTGCTATAGCAACAAGGAGAAAACTAGTATATAAGTGGGTGAATTGGCTTTAGCTAGGAGTACAGTGAGTTCACCTCTCATAGAAGAGAGAACAGAGCACATGGACACAGATGTTCTCCTCTGATTGCTTCAATTTTCTCAGTGAACTAGAAAGCAAGATGCTAGAAGTGCTAGAGGTTTAAGGAGAAAGGAGAGTGTATCAGTAGTTGTCTAGAGTATGGACCAGTGAATGGACTGAGTAGCATTAAGGACTCTTGGAGATTAGAGATTATGAATTTAAAGTAAAGCCACAGTAAGTATGGTTATGTTTTTCCCCCCTCTTTGTATGTTGAAATGTATAGGTACAAGGAAGCAATTGAGCACTATATACAAGGCTATGATTATCATGATGACTACAGGATTTAAGCTGGGTAAGGAAAGTCAGACATCAGAAGGATCAGGGACAGTGAAAATAAAATAGGTTTAATAGACTTAAGATCCCAACAGGCTCAAAGATTTGTAGGAGTAATAGAAATTGTGATATGAAAGGTAAGAGGTGGCAGAGAGTGCAAACTGTAAAGTTGAAATGATGGAGGAACTGAAGTTTGAATAAAGACAAGATCAAGAAGTAAGTAGTGAGGTAGGGTAAAGGGCAAAATTTATTGGAGAAGAGGAATTCCAATGTCTGAAGACAGCAGTGTACTGAAAGAATTATCCAATGAACACTGAAATCACAAGCAGTATTGAAGTGAAGGCAGTGAATAATTTTTCATTTCTGTACATAATGTGAGCAGAGTTACAGACTGTCTTTATTGTGGACTATCTTTTCAAGCAAGCTTATCTAGCAAACAGCCTTAGAAAATGGAGAATGTCTCTCTCCAAAGCAAAGGGTAGGTTTACCCTTAGAATATATTATCTTCCTCCACTTCAAGGGCAGACATGCCTAGTGTCCACTATCGAAGATTCAAGTTCCCTAAGGTTGTGATTCCTCTGCTATCATTCAATCTACTGTGTATGCAGGTATCACATGGCCCTTTTCAAGTCACACTTTGGAAACTGGGACTTGAGGACCCAGTGTAAGCAAATGCTTTTACTTTGGCTACTGCTTTTGCTGCTAGTAATAGTCCTTTGTTTCTGGCCCAGAAATCTCTCCTCTTCTGCCAACATCCATGAAACTGTGATAGTTAACTTATTAGCTTGCAAGTAGGATAAAATCTCAGACCCTTGGAAGTTTTTCATAGAATCTCCAATGAATGGAAGGTGGGCATAAAAGATTACTGCAACAGGATGGGTAGAAGGTGGTATAGTTTAATAATGTGAGATAAAGTTTGGAGATGTTTTAGAAGAGATAATGATCTGGAAAAAGCAATGAGAAGAGAAGCAAGGGAAGACCTCCAGGATCAATGTTATAAAGAAAGCATGAGAGGCAATGTTACAGAAGAGGTTGAAGATAAAGAGAAATTTCCTGATGACTGACCTTGAGCTCCAGGGACATTATAAAAGATTTTCAGGAGACAGAGAGGAGTGGGTTTTGGGGTCAAATCTGGATACACATGGTAAGAGATTCATGACTCTTGGGCTTCTTATGGTAACTTACATGAACAAGAAAAAAGGAGCGTGATGAAATTAGTTGATTAAATCAGATTAAGTTAGTCTACGTGTTTTTACATTCTTCCTCCCTCTTTTACCCACCCAATACTACTCCGGAATGCTTCATTTCTTACTAAACGAAACATCATTTTAGAAAATTTGTAACATACACATTTTTTAAAATGTAAATGGCAAAATTGTTATTTAAATAGAGGCAAATGTTAACTTACTTGAATTAGATCTAAAATGCCAAGTTCACTTTCTGAAGAATCCACACAGAAGACAAAATATAACGTTGCATAATGTCTATAAATTAGTTTGTTGTCAGATCCTCCAATTAATCTAAATGACAAAACAAAACAATTGGAAAATTATAAGAAAATGAGAAACATTTTCATTAGCTCAAGCAAACTGATAATTTACTTAAAAACATTTTATAAAATAAAAGGTATCATTTACTGGCATAGCATTCAAGTGATCTTGTATCAGAGACTGAGTAAATTAGGTGCTTGTTTTCTTAAAAAATGTCAAGTAAAAGATGTTGCTGCTTCATTTTAATTCATTCATTCATTAAACTATCTACTGAGTATAGACTATGTGTCAGACACTGATAGTGGATAAGGAGCAATAAACAAACATTATCAGAGTGGAAAGCACTACATAGAGAATCAAAATAAGATGATACCATTCTGATGGGCTCATTACTTCAGATTAGATGTTAAGAGTGATATTTAGGCCAAGATCTAATAATAATGAGGCAGCAATGACAGAATTTAGAGAAGAGCATTTCAGCCAGAGTAACAACTAATAAAAAGGCCATTTCATCAAGAACAAAGTATGGATGTTCAGGGAAGAGAAAGACGGTCTATAGACAAAGAAAGATTAGTAAGCAATGAGGTCAGAAAGAGGGCAGAAATCAGATGACAGGGCATTTGAAAGTGCTTACTAAATTTAATTACACAAGTCACAAGCTTAAGACTGATTAGAAATGAGGGGAGAAAAAAAAAAGAATGACATTTCTTCTTAAGTTGGACAGATTTCCCAATAAAATCTCCAAAAACACATTTTGTTTTGAAATATAAATGCAAAACAACAATTGAGCTAAGAGATACCCAATTCTTTCATCAAATGTTTTTATTTATATTTGTTAGAATTACAGCATTTTATAAATAATCTTTCCAAACATCTTACATTTTTCTAAGTACAGTTTAACTATCATAGTTAAGTTTACAATAATTAGTTTGTTCATCTTCTCAAAAGACCCTCTAATACTAACATAAAGGCTAACTGAACACTCAAAAAAGGGAAAATGGCATATATTACTTACTCAGTAAAATAACACTGAAACCCTAGCCAGTTTGGCTCAGTGGATAGAGCGTCAGCCCATGGACTGACAGTTGTGGGTTCAATTTTGGTCAAGGGCACATACCTCAATTGCAGGCTCGATCCCCGGTCCCGGTCAGGCAACCAATGGATGTGACTCTCCCACATCGATGTTTCTCTCTCTCTGTCCCTCCCCCTCCCTTCCACTCTCTCTAAAAATCCAATGAAAAAATAGCCTTGGGATGAGGATTAACAAAAAAATAAAATAAAATGGGTAAATAAATTTAAAAAGTAATACTGAATTTATAAGTTCTATAGAAACAATTTATCTTATGTTCTCTAATAGCAAGAGGAAGAATAATTTTTGACAAATATTTTTTAACTATGCTAGATATGTTTATAGAAAAGATTCAATTAGAAAATATGTATACTTTAAAGATTCTCTGACATTATTTTTATAGGTTACTAGAGGCCCGATGCATGAAGATTCATGCAAAAATAGGCCTTCCTTCCCCTGGCTGCTGGCACCACCTTCACTCTGGCTGGAGCCGCCTTTCTGCCTTGGTTCCGGCCCAAAGCTGCCTTTCTGCCTTCCCCCACTGCCCAGAGGCCAGGAGTGGCTGGGCTGGTGTGGAAAGCCTGTGTTGCTGCCATGGCGCAAGCGTCCTGCCTCACCCCCGGTTGCTCGGTGCCTGCATATGCAAATTAACCTGCCATCGTTGGTGGGTTAATTTGCATACTCACTCCTGATTGGCTGGTGGGTGTTGCAAAGGTACAGCAATTTGCATCTCTCTCTTTTATTAGTGTAGATTATTGCAATTGTTTCATGAAAGACACAAAAAGAGCACAAGCAGCAGGTTTCGCTTCATCAGAAATCAGCAATTTAGCAGTTGTCTTAAACTTCTGTTTGGCTGTTTTTAAGGAAAGACCAAACTTTTGGTGTTAATAAATGGCTATTAATGTTGTTAAAAATGGCTATGAATGTTATTAAAAGAAAGCAAAGATATTAATATGGCAAGTATATATTTATCTTTAAAAATATAATTTCATCTTTAAACTACAGTACAATACAGATAAATACTGATACAAATTCTTATATGGAATGCAATACACCATATAAAACCACAGAATTTTAGAAATCTTCTTAGTCCAAATACCAGATAAAAACTGCGATAGATTTTAAGTTACCTGACCAAAAAAGCCAGTGTGTTAGTGACAAAACCAGGACTAAACCAGATGTGTATTCTCATCTCTGATGCAATATTTGCTATCTACTTTTTATAAGGTTGGAAAAGAATAATCACAAAGTCAAGCCATAATTTATAGTTGAAACAGTGCCTGATTAGATCAATCAAGTTTTTGCATGTCTATCACATGCAGTGCACTATGGTAGGTGATAGTTTCTTATGGGATAAGAGATTAAGAGACTGATATGACAGAAAGTAATAGTGATGGCAAAGACATTAAATTATAAAGGTGTAAGAAATAAAAAAATACAATTAAAATATAAAAACAGAAACCAGGTGTACCTGTCTCAACTATTAAATTGATAGCCATAAGTTAATAGCAGAATTTACAAATATTTATCAATTTAAGTGCAGCATGATATAACCTTTTATGAAATAAAAGTAAACTTTCTACGTGGTAAAAAGTAATTATGTTCAGATAAGAATGACTTCTCTATTATCCTATTTTTCATAAGATGCATTATATACCTTAAAATACAAAATTGTAGGCTTCTTTGACTAAACCTGTGATTACATGTACAGTAGGACTCAGTTTAAGTTCAGTTTTTGAATTGTCAATGAGGAAATTTCTTAATCTTATTAAGAAATCAATGATAGCCCTAACCAGTTTGGCTCAGTGGAAAAGCGAGGCCTGCAGACTGAAGGGTCCCAGGTTCGATTCCGGTCAAGGGCATGTACCGGGGTTGCAGGCACATCCCCAGTAGGGGGTTGTGCAGGAGGCAGCTGATGGATGTTTCTCTCTCATGGATGTTTCTAACTCTCTATCTCTCTCCCTTCCTCTCTGTTAAAAATCAATAAAATATATTTAAAAAAAAGAAATCAATGATATAAACATGGGGGAACATTTATAAAACTATTTGAGAGCACATTATTTTCATGAATCCCATTAATTTAAAAGTATTTATAATAGTTGGCAAGTTAATTATAAGTAATTTTATTTTTTAAAGTTATTTTTGTTGCAGTATGTGTGACATGTAACACTACAAAGTATAAGTAATTCTTAGTTTTTCATTTAAAATAGAAAAATATATTAGCTGAATTCTAATCTATACACAGAAATGCCTATACATATACACATAGACATATATTTAAAAAGCAGACTTCAGTCTTGTTTGTAATAATAAAATAAGGTATGCAATCTAAAATTTAATGAACAGATCTGTTCACTCTAAGGCAGTGGTTCTCAACCTTCCTAATGCCGTGACCCTTTAATACAGTTCCTCATGTGGTGACCCCCAATTTCATTGTTACAAATTGAACATAATTAAAGCATAGTGATTAATCACAAAAACAATATGTAATTATATATGTGTTTTCTGATGGTCTTAGGCGACCCCTGTGAAAGGGTCGTTCGACCCCCAAAGGGGTCGCGACCCACAGGTTGAGAACCGCTGCTCTAAGGAATAGCCTGTAGTCAATACAAAGAATGAAGTTGCTCTAGATATATTTATATGGCAAAGCTTTTCAAATTACTAAGTGAAAACAAGAAATATGCAAACTAGCATACATAGTTTGATCATAAGATCACACTTTTATATGTTAGTCAATGCAAAATTAATTTTCTAGAATGACACACAAGAAATTGGGAAGGAGGACTAAAATTCGGAGAGACTCTAATTTACATTTTACATTTTATACTTCCTTATAATGGTCAAATTTTCACAATATACATATATTGCCTTATATAAAATCCTATATAATAAAGATGTACTATGCAAATGGTTGTTACACCATGAAGCGTTAACGACCAACCGACCGGGTAAGGACCGGATCAGGGATCAGCAGGAGGGTGGGGCAGCGAGATACAAGCGGGCAGAGAGCTACAGGAGGGGGCAGGGCAGCAAGCTATGAGGGGGACAGGGGAAGCTACAGGAGGGCGGGGCAGCGGGCAGAGAGCTACTGGAGGGTGGCAGCGAGCTACTAGCACATCGATTCATGTGCAGGGCTACTAGTACTTTTATAAAATTCTTAAAAAGAACAAACAAGATTGCATATCTTTAAAAAAAATTTTAAGTATATTTTTATTGATTTCAGAGAAAAAGAGAGAGATAGAAACATTAATGATGAGGGAGAATCATTGATCGGCTGCCTCCTGCATACCCCACATGGGGGACTAACCCCGCAAACCAGGCAAGTGCCCTGACCAGGAAATCAACCGTGATCTCCTGGTTCATAGGTTGACGCTCAATCACTGAGCCATGCCAGTCAGGCTAAAAAATTCTTCAAGTTAGATTTATAGCTAACATAGGTGGCAATTAATTCACCTGATCAAATTAATTAAAATTAAAAAAAACTTTTATCATAAACAGATTAAACAGTATATATTCTAAACATACAAAAATTAGAATTGTCTATGAAATGCTTTACTTACAATCCTCCTTCTAAGAAATTACAAACATTTTCATCTCTCTTAGATACCAAATGGAATGTCTCCCTGATGATTTGCTGTTGTGTATCTTCACTCTGAGAAAGAATAATTCATATATGTTAGGATTGGATTTGTAGGTTTAACAGCATTTAAAATTTTTAAAAATAGGTTTCTGGTTAAGATGGTGGAGTAGTAAACGCTGTGCTCATCTCCTCCCACGACCACATCAAAATTACAAAGAAACTATAGGAAAATCATCATTGAGAACCTTCTGAAGACTAGCTAAGGATATACTGAAGTTCCGTAACTAAGGATATACTGAAGAAGCCACATGGAGTCAAGGGGGTGGGGGGTGAAGATGCCAAATGGGCTGGTCCCACACCCACATGTGGTGGCTAAAAATCGAGAGGGATATCTTGGCTGCTTAGGTGCCACCTGAGGAGCGAGGGGTCCCAGCCCCACACTAGGCTCCCCAGACCAGGATTCCAGGGTTGAGGAGAGAAGTCCCCATAACTTCTGACTATAAAAACCAGAGGGATTGTGGCTGAGTGAGATGGAGGGTTGCTGGAGTTCCAAGCATTTGTCTTAAAGGGCTAGCACACAGACTTACTTGCTGACAGATTCACTCGCTGTGGGGAGGCAGCTCAAAAGGTTCCAGGGACATACGGAGCAGACTGATTTATCTGGCTTCAGAATGAGGGCTGGAGGGGCAGCTTTTGCCCAGACAGAAGTGCTGGCAGAGAACACTGTTCCTTTGTTGATCCCTCCCTCAACCCAGCCTGCACTCGCAGGTGGGTGCTGCATCTGAGCCTCCATCCACCTAGCTAACAGAGTTAACCCAACCCTGGTGATTCCCTGAGACCCCACCTCATCCAACTTGCAAGTACACCCAAGCTGCTTCCAGTGGCTTTTCCATACAAACAGCCTGTCTTGGCTCATGCTTCAGACTTTCCCAAAATCTCTTAAAGGTTTACAAACTCCAAAGAAGCAACATCTGTCCTTACTGTGCCTGTGTCTCTTGCAAAGCAGCCCCAAGCCTGACAATAGTGGTAGCCAGCCTCAGTCACTTTAGCCTCTTCCAGGCACCTCCAAACCCAGTCAAGGGGCAACTATCTGCAGATCACTTTGCAGCTCATACCAAGTAGCCAGATAGGGCAAAGGCAACAGCTAACTTTGGCCTGCACCAGAGTCCCTCCCCACAACTTTAAAGGTTGGGACACACTTGAAGTGCAGACTTTGCAGGCGTCAGAATCCTAAAGCAAATCCTGCTCTGTAGGGCCAATCTCTGCACAACAGCTCCTCCACTGTGGTCAGAGCCAGTCCTCACAACCAATCAGCCTGAGGGTCAATCTCTCCCATTGATGTGCCAACAGTAATCAAGGCTCAACTACAACAGGAGGGACACAACCTACATGACTGGGCTCACTGGGCCCCTCATGACACTTAGTCCATAAGGCCACTCTATCAAGACCAAGAAACATGGCAGCTCTACCTAATACACAGAAACAAACACAGGGGAATAAAGAAACATGTCCCAAATGAAAGAACAGAACACAACTCCAGAAATAGAACTAAACAAAATGGAGACAAACAATCTACCAGATGCAGAGTTCAAAACACTGGTTATAAGTATGCTCAATTATCTCAGTGAGATCAAAAAAGAGACAGGAAACATAAAAATGGAGAAAGAAAAGATAAAAAAGAACAGTCAGAAATGAACAATACAATAACTGAAATGAAGAATACATTAGAGAAAATCAACAGTATATTAGATGAATCAAAGGACTGAACCAGCAATTTGGAAGGTAAGGTAGGAGAAAACACCTAATCAGTACAGCAGAAAGAACCCAAAACCAAAATAAAACAAAAAAACAAGTATTGTTTCAGGGGCCTCTGGGACAACTTAAAGCATCATAGGAGTACCAGGAGGAGAAGAGAGAGAGCCAGGGATTGAAAACCTATCTGAAGAACGAATGACTGAAAACTTCCATAGCCTGGCAAAGGAAATAGACATATAAACCCAGGAAGCACAGAGTCCTAGACAAGATGAACCCAAAGAGGCCCACACTAAGACACATCATAACTAAAATGCCAAAGGTTAAAGACAAAGAGATACTCTAAACAGCAGCAAGAGAAAGACAGATAGTTACCTAACTATAAGACTATCAGCTAATTTCTTAACAGAAACATTTCAGGCCAGAAAGGATAAGCATAATGTATTCAAAGTGATGAAAAGCAAGGGACTACAATCAATATTATTCTACCCAGCAAAGCTATCATTTAGGATCAAAGGACAGATAAAGAGCTTCCCAAACAAGAAAAAGTTAAAGAAATTCATCAGTGTTACAAGAAATGTTAAAGGGATGTCTTTAAGAAGAAAGGAAAAAAGATCAAAATAATGAATAATAAAATGTCAACAGGTACATATCTACCAACAATTACTTTAAAAGTAAATGGATTAAATGCTCCAATCAAAAGACATAGGGTAGCTGAGTGGATAAGTAACCAAGACCCTTACATACGCTGCCTAAAGAGACTCACTTCAGATGGAAAGACACACAGAGACGGAAAATAAAGAGATAGAAAAATAAATTTTTTGAAAATGGAAATTAAAAAAAACAAACAGCTGGGGTAGCAACACTTATACCAGACAAAACAGACTTTAAAACAAAGGTTATAACAAGAGACAAAGAAAAACCCAGCAATTTCACTTCTTGGTATTTATCCAAAGAAATTCAAAGCACTATTCAAAAAGACAGAAAAATCCTTATGTTCACTGCAGCATTATTTACAATAGCCAAGATATGGAAACAATTTAAGTATCCACCAATAGATGAATGGATAAAAAAGAAAGGAAGGGTACATATATACAACGAAATATTACTCAGCCATAAAAATGAATGAAATCTTGACACCTGCAACAACATGGATGGACCTAGAGCATATTATGCTAAGTGAAATAAGTCAGCCACAGAAAGACAAATACCATATGATTTTACTTATATGTGAAATTTAAAAACACAAAATAAATGAACAAATGAAACAAACAAATTCATAGATACAGAGAACGTTTTGATGGCTATCAGATGGAGGGAGGTTAGAAGAATGGGTAAAAAGGGTAAGAGATTCAGAAGTACAAATTGCCAGTTACAAAACAGTCAATAAAAAGCATAAGCTCAGGTGAGGATTTAAAATAATAATAAATAATATTGTAATACTTATGTATCATGTCAGATGGGTACTAGATTTATTGGGGTGATCACCTTGTAAGTTATATAAATGTCTAATTACTATGTTGTACACCTGAAACTAACAATATTTTATGTCAACTGTAATTGAGAAATAAAAAAATTATCAATAAAAATAATTTTTAAAATGCAAGATAGTGATATCTGTTGGGAAATTCATCTGATAGTTCCTTGAAGAACTTACATATTACATCTCACAGAAACAGAACACAACATTTACTTATGAAAAACAAAACAAAAATCAATGCTTTTTATAGTTTACCACTACAATATAACTAGCTTATTTCTAAGTTTCAAGACCAACAAGAAAAATATTAGACAAGGGAATTATAGACTTTAGTAAAAGGGACACTAGATATTAAATAGTTAAAGTCCACTGTTTTATAAATGAGTAAACTGAAATAGAGAAGTTATAAATAATTCATATAGCTAATCTATTTTTTAATGGAACAAAGTCTGGAGCTTCTAATTAAGTAAGCTTAACTAAATGCAAATTGAGGTAAGAGGCCATCCATCTTACTCAACTTTATATGTTATCAGAAAATGGGTTCTTGTATGTGCCCTGACTGGGGATCAAACCTTCAACCTTGGCATATTGGGATGATGCTCTGACCAACTAAGCTACCAAGCTAGGGTGCAATATACAGATCACGTATCATAAAAATGTACACTTGAAACTTAAAAGATCCTATTAACTAATGTCCCAATAAATGTAACTTAAACAGAAAAATGGAAACCAGAATAAAGAATAAACTATGTAAGATGCTCATGTTCTCACAGGAACAAAAGAGAAAGGGGGGGTGAGGGGAATCCCCTGCTAATTTAAACTATAATCACATCATCAAGTACCCATACTATTGATGAAGAAATGTAAATATGTCTAATAATATCAAATATTGTCAAGAATGCATAACAACAAAGCACTTATAGAATACTAGAAGAACTGTAAATTGGTACGACCCCTTCTGAAAACAGATCAGCATTACCTAGTAAAGCTAAACATGCAAGTACCCTAGGACAATGTTATTCAACTCCTAGTTATGTCCTAGAGAAATTATAAAAGATGTTTGCAAGACTGCTTATAGCAGCACTGTTTGTAACAGTAAGAAAACTACAATGTAAACGTCCATTAATCATAGAATGTATAAATAAAATGTGGTTTATTTGTGCATGGAATATTACACAGCAATGAAAATTAATGACTACAGTAGATATAATGCCAATGGTGATCTTAGAAATGTTGAATTGGTGTGTTTTTTTAAATTAAGTCACAGAAGACTATAAACACCATCATTCTATTTTCAGTTCAAAAACATGCAAGACTAAACAATAAACTGTCTAAAGACAAAAATATGTAGCAAAACAAAAGTATAATATTATTTTAAAAATTCAAAATGGTAGTTATAGAGAGGAAACAGGATGAAATAAAAGAGAAATACATAAAGACTTCAAAGTTGTTGGCAATTTTTCTGAAAAAAGGGTGGTGAACGCATAGTAATTAGGGCACTACTTACCACATTTTACAGATATTTATTGTATAAATATTATTTTGTACCTATTCAATATTTCATTGAAAAGCTGAAAGGGGGGAGCCATGTATAAGACAGTTGCCCTTTTCCTTCATGATGTTTGCTTTATTGTCACCTCCTTCTAGTCTTCATCTAGAGCAGCGTTCTCAACCTGTGTGTCGTGACCCCTTTGGGGATCGAACGACCCTTTCACAGGGGTCGCCTAAGACCATCGGAAAAGAAATATATAATTACATATTGTTTTTGGGATTAATCTCTATGCTTTAATTATGTTCAATTTGTAACAATGAAATTGGGGGTCACCACAACATGAGGAACTGTATTAAAGGGTTGCGGCATTAGGAAGGTTGAGAACCACTGATCTAGAGCTAAATGGTGGCCCTTGGATGACCTTATCTACTTTTGTGGTTCAACCATGTTATTATCTCCCTAATCTTTAATTCTCCCTTATCTCCAGTGCCTAAAAGAAGGCAACATTCTTTTCTAAATTGGGATAGTATTTCCAGCTTCCAACTATACAGCTCCATTTATAGCTATAAAGTCATATTAAAACCCACATTTTCAAGACTAAAAACATTACATTTTTTTCTAAAACCAATTTTTCTTACTATATTCTAATCTCAGTTAATAACATCACCATTCACCAGGCTCTTAAGGCAAAAATATTTTTTTTAAAATATATTTTATTGATTTTTCACAGAGAGGAAGGGAGAGAGATAGAAAGTTAGAAACATTGATGAGAGAGAAACATCGATCAGCTGCCTCCTGCACATCTCCTACTGGGGATGTGCCCGCAACCCAGGTACATGCCCTTGACCGGAATCGAACCTGGGACGCTTCAGTCCGCAGGCCGACGCTCTATCCACTGAGCCAAACCGGTTTCGGCAAGGCAAAAATCTTTAAGGTTCCTTTCCTTTCAATTCACATGTACATTCAGTCACCAAGTCCTGTTAATTCTATTTCAGAAATAGGAAAGCTGGATTCAAAGACATTACCTCAACTCAGATTCTTATTCTTACTCAGAATACTGTAAGAACCACCTAAACATTCACTCTGTCACCTCTCTCTACTCCATCCTACAAGCCACCAGAATTACTTCCTAAAAAAAACAGCATTTTTACCTACTTTTCTAAAGCCCTTTCATTTGATCTAAAAAGTTTCCATTTGATCTAATATAAAGTCCAAACTCCCTACCATGCCATAAAACAATCTCCAAAATCTAACTGAGACTTATGTCTCAAAATTCATCTATTTCTTCTCCCCTATACAATCTTCTCCAACCATATTGAAGTTCTCGCCATTTACTTCCTTCCTGTTTTCCTACATCCTCACTCCATTCTCTAACAATATCCTTTTAAGACCTAGCTGAAACATGATAACCCTATGAAGTTCTTTTTTACTTTCTCAGGAAAAATCAATTCCTTCTTCTTCATTGCTTCCTTGGCATTATTTCTATCCCTGATATACGCTTATAATGAAGTGTTCAAATTTCCTTTGTGCATATCTGAATTCTACCAGACTCTGAGCTCCTCCAGGTATTCTTTGAATCTGAAATTCTCAACAAGTGGCTGGCATAGAGTAATCAATAAAAGTGTACTAAATAAGTGAATATGTATCTAAAAGATAGGATCCACATCCCTTATCTTATCAAATATCTAGGTTATCTTACACACACACACACACACAGCGGTAATGAAGTAAAAACAATACGATGTAGTATGTAGTTAAAAGTATAAGCCTTATTCATAAAAATTCCTGCACAATCTTTCATGTTGGCTAGATGCAGAAGTTCTCTTGATTCCTTCTCAAGAATGACAAACAAATGCTCACATGGAAGGTTCTATCTGATCAGGATGACCAATACTGGACTTCATGTGAGTAAGAAATAAACTTTTATTGTGTTAAGCCACTAAGATTTGGGGGATTGTTGTTACACCAATTGCAATTCTTATACTAGCTAAAACTGCCTGATAAACTCAAGTATAGCTCATACAGACAACTTCTAATCATGGATTCAGAGCTTCCAATTAGCTTTTAGTGTCCTAGCCTTAGATAAGAGCAGACAACCAAGGATATTGGACATCTAACATAAAAACTAAGGACAAAATGGGGGGGGGGGGAATAAACCAAGTAGGGAGAAGAAAATTTTAAAATATATACCATTAATATCAGAGAGATAAGAAAGGTAATACAACTATGCAACAAGAAAAGAAAGGCATACTAGTAAACAGTAACATTCTGAGATCAAAAAGGAACTTGTGAAAATTAAAAATATAAGGAGAAATTTTAATACTCATGAGAAAGACTGAAAAACAAACTTGAGAAAAACATCCAGAAAATAGAATCAGAAGAGAAAGGATTAAAAAAGTAGGACAGAGCTGAGGAATGCTGAATAAAAGTTTCAAAAAGAGAACACAGAAAACTGATAAATTTTTCAAGCAAGGAGGACAAGTTTTCAGAATAAAAAGGCCCATCAAGTACCCAGCACAATTGATGAAAATTGACTGATAGCAAGGACCTGTGAAACTTTAGAAACTGCAAACAAGAGTTTACATGCATTCTGGACAGTAAAAACAGATCACATACAAAGACTAAGTATTCAGAATTACCGGCTTTTTTATAGCAATACTGGAAACTAAAAGGTATGGAGCAATGCTATAAAACTGGGAATCAAAATGCATGGTGATCAGATTTCCTACCACTGTTTCATAATCGAAGACAAAAGAGATATATTTCAGTTAGTCACAATTCCTAGATTACATCAGTCTAAAGATAACTAGTTACAAAAGGCTATATTATAAATACTTCTTAATGCATTAATGAAAAATAAATCTAAAAAATTCAGTAACCCACTAATAAAACTTTCTCTTTTCCTATGTTCCTTGCCTGACCTTATCTATATATATAAAAGCCTAAACGACTGGCTGGCTGGTAGCTATGATGAGCAATGACCACCGGGGGCAAATGCTCTGACTGGTAGCTATGATGCACACTGACCACCAGGGGGCAGACACTCAACGCAGGAGCTGCTGAGCTGCAGTGACTTGGCAGCAGCGGTTCTCGGGTGACTCACCCAGAACCAGAAAGGAGGGAGCCCGATTTTGGGGTGCATCCCCCGAGAACCACCTTCTTGCAATCCGGGACCCCTGGGGGGATGAGAGCTGGTTTCAGCCCGATCCCCGCAGGCCAGGCTGAGGGAACCCCCACCAGTGCACAAATCCATGCACCGGGCTCTAGTGCAGCAGTCACCAACTGGTGGTCCGCGGACCACGGGTGGTCTGTGAGGTCTGAAAGGTTGGCAAACGCTGATCTACAGCATGTCATAAAAGGCAATGTGAGAACCAAAACTTCCCTCTTAATCCAACAGTAAATAAGTCATTATCCTTATCCCTCCCTGCCATGTACACTCAGAGAAGAATTTTTTTAGAATATAAAGGATTACCAAGATGAAAAGAAACAGATCCTTTCTCAAAGCTTAATACAAGAAATAAAACATGAATATAACTATTTTTTAAACTTTTAATGTTCCAAAAACATGAGCAAAGAAAAAAAAGAGATAAAGTAGATGACATCAAAATTTAAAATCTTTGTGCTGCAAATGATATCAACAGGAGAGTGAAAACAACCCACAGAATGGGAACAAAATATTTGCAAATCATATATCTGATAAGAGATTTGCATCCAGAATACATAAAGAACTCTTACAACTCAATGATAATAATAAAAACACAACTTAAAAATAGACAAAGGATTTGAATAGACTTTTCTTCAAAGAAGATATGCAAATAGCAATAATCACTTGAAAAGATGCTCAACATCACCTGTCATTACAAAAATACAAATCAAATTCACAATGACATGTTACTTGACATCCACCAGGATGGCTAGAATAAAAAAGACAGACAATAGCAAGAATTAATGAGAATATGGAGAAATTGAAACTCTCATACATGGCAGATGGTAATGTAAAATGGTACAGTCACTTTGGATAATAATCCAGCAGTTTTTCGAACAATTAAACACAGTTTCCATATGGCCTAGCAATTGCACTTCTAGATATATACCCAAGAGAAATAAAAACATATTTTCACACAAAAATTTCATATGAGTTTACATGAATTCATAGCAGAATTATTCATAGTAGCCAAAAAGTAGAAACAACCCAAACATCCATCAACAAAATGTGGTATATCTATATAATGAAATATTTGGCCATAAAAAGTAATGACGTATTGGTATATGCTACAACATGGATGCCTCCTGAAAATATCATGCTAAGAAGCCAGTCACAAAAGACTACATATTTCATGATTCCATTAATATGAAATTTCTAGAATAGGCAAATCTATAGGCACAGAAAATAGATTAGTGGTTGCCAACGGCCGTGGGGAGTGGGGGTTGCAGATTGACTGTTACTAGGTACTACGTTTTATTTATTTTTTATTTTTAATATACTTTTATTTATTTCAGAGAAGAAGGGAGAGGCAGAGAGAGATAGAAACATCAATAATGAGAATCACTGACCGGCTGCCTCCTACACGCCCCTTACTGGGGACTGAACCTGCAACCCAGACATGTGTCCTGAATGGGAATCCAACAGGGACCTCCTGGCTCACAGGTTGAAGCTCAACCTCTTAGCAACACCAGCCAGGCTAGGTTTTATTTGGATTGATGAAAATGTCCTAAACTTAAATTATGGTAATGGTTGCACAGTGGTGAATACAATAAAATTAGGTAATTCTTTAAAAAGAAAAAGCTGGGGCAAGTTTTATAG